GTAGTAGTAGCAGCAGCAGCAGAGGAGCAATAGCCGCAGCTTCAGGAGCACGCGAAGTAGCCGTAGCAGCAGTAGTAGCAGCTTGTTTGAAGCTATCCTTGGGCCCAAGCCATCTCACAGGCTCGCTGCATAGCGTGCCCGCAGAAGGTGGCAAATGCAAGAACGCAGAACTGCCGGGAACCCGAACTTTCAATTACAGAACGTTCAGTCCTGGAAGTCTTGCTAAGGTGCATAACTTTTCAGAGTCAAGCGTGCAACTGCGCGTGCATGTGTGGACTTGGTGGCTAAGTTATGGGATAGCATCTCTAAACGCCGCGTTGACTGACCTTCCAGTACCAGACCTGGTTTTCATCATGGAGCCCACAAAAACCTAGAAGTGGGATTTTGCGGCCAGGGGTGTCTACTGGGGAGTCAGAAAAGGACGCTTCTTGTCTTCTCCGACTGACACACAACACAGCCGGCTAAATCCAAGGCAGGGTTGCCCCACAATATTGAGCAGGAAGCGCCGAACACAGTGCAAGGACGACGGACAAGCAACAGAACCTTCAATCCAACAACCGGGGCAACCCACTCCTGCCTACAACATCATTGGTCTAGGGTGTAGGATTCAGGATTCAGGGTTTAGGGCTTAACCTCTTTCTGCCCACAACACCATTAACTCCATCCTCATTCCCGCACAGCCTATTTGGACAAGAGAATGACTATTATCGGAAAAGCCCGAAAGGGCCTCAACCTGTCTTGTCAAGAGTTGCGCGTCCGCTTCACATCCCCCAAGCGCGTGAATCAGCCAAAAGCTGGATCAAGACAAGCTTTACACTGGAAGTCTTGACAGGTTTAGGCTGGGTATGCAACCCAGAATTCCAGGCTTCTGCGTTAAGGAAAACCCTGATCCCTAAAACCCCTAAACCCTGAATAGTAGCTTTTTGTTTTCCATTATCCCTATACAACCCCATATTAAGTTAGCAGAACCCTTGCCCATTTTGGGTGATAATACCACCAGTCAACCCATTAGACGATTATTCCTATACTCCCCCCTACATCTCACCAACTAAATCACCACTACTACCCCGTTACCAATACAAGTATAGGAATAACCAATTACCTCATCCATATTCCCCAAGGTGGTATTATTACCCAAAATGGGCAGAGGTTCTCTCATAGATTTTACATGATTTTACTTGGTTTAGTTTCAAAGGTTGTAATCATAATATACTTATAGTGCAATACCTCTCATAAAGTATGTTTGTATTATACTTATGAATGCATTATCCGATATAGTTTAGAGAACGAATTGTTGTCACTGGTTTGATCTGATTGCGTACTGCCGATATTAATTACCTCATTGTTCATAGGAATTTCAACTATCACCTTATTATCCTGCGTGCTGAATATCAGAAACTAATTCTCAAGAAGTTCATCGTTAAGCAATAACTGCGGTGTATGGTTAAACACAGTAACAATTTCTGACATCTTGTCATCTGGCCCTTTTGTATTTACGATTCTACTCTTTCCTCTTCTCTCTGAATTGAATACAATTTGCAAATGATCTGTTATTCTTGCTGTATCCAAATTCTTCAACTGTCTTTTTACTGTGACACCTTGAGCATTTAACATATAAAAAGGCACTATCCTTTTAGTTCATTTTTCGTTTATCATTGTATACTTTCATTCCATCAAGGCATTCACAACAAGTAGCCGTGGTTCTATACTGCATTGCATACCTACCCGTTTTACTATGGTAACATCTCTTGAAACACATCAAGTTTTTCGGAGTCGAAGTTTAAGAGCAAATGGTCCCAATGTCCGCGGACAGAATTCATTCCAGGAGCACGGGGTTTTGGGAAAAACTTCAGGAAGCTGTTGAAGGTTCTGGTAGAGTCTGGGCCGATTTATCCTTGGCGTCACAAAC